TTTCAATTCTCCTTCGACTGACCAAGAAGCCTAGAAGCTTCCCTGACGTTGCTCTGAAAGTGCACTTTGTCGGATTGAGTTTCAACCGGTATTTCCTCAATCTTTGGAATAACTTTCTCAAATTTTCAATATGCCCTTCCTCAGTTTGGCATTTAGCAATCATATCATCCACATACACTTTAATCTCTTTGTATGAAAAAGGGTCACCATAGCCCTTTGATATGTTGCTCCTACATTTTTCATCCCGAATGGCATCACCTTATAACAGAACATGCCCTACATAGTCACGAACATTGTTTTCTCCATATCTTCTAGATTCATCTTTATCTGGTTGTACCTCGAGAAACCATCCATAAAAGAGAACCATAAATATCTTACGGTCTTATCCACTAATGTATCGATATTAGATAGTGGAAAATTATCCTTTGAGCTTGCTTTATTTAGGTCTCTATAGTCCACACACATACGCACTTTTCCATCTTTCTTCGACACATGGACTATATTAGTTATCCATTCAGGATATTTGGCCACTTGAAGAAAACCTGCATCGATTTGTTTTCTCACTTCTTTTTTAATTTTTAATAGCATCTCTGGCCCCATTCTCCTGAGCTTTTATTGTCCTAGCTTGCACTTAGGCCTTGGTCGAAGTTTGTGCACTACTATATCTATATATAATCCTGGCATATCTTGATAAGACCATGCAAATATATCCTTAAATTGTTTCAGAAAATTTATCAAACTCTACCTTGCCTCGAGTGATAAGGTTGTGCCAATCTTCACTTATCTTTTCTCTTCATCAGATCCCAGATTCACAATTTCGACTTATTCTTTATTAGGCAAAATTTTCTAATCTTTTTTTCCACCAGTCTCAATAATTCGTTTGAAACTTCACATTTCACCTCATTTTGACACTCATTAGTGTATTATAAACACAAAAGTCGCTCAAGAATAATTTCATGATTAGTAACAGAAACTTTCATGCTATTAATATTGGGACACATACAAAGAAAATATGGAACGGGTATATATTTTGGAAAGAGAAAAGCGAAACGAATGAAAGAAATGTAAAAATGAAGAAATGTGAAATGCAATAAAATGATTTCCACTTGATAAATGAATGAAAACAAGGGCTTTTCAACAAGCTAGGTATTAGGTTTCTAACCACCGTGAATGGTGGCCAAAGTGACGGTTCGAGCGATGGAGGGGCAGTGGTTAGGAGTGAGCGTTAGATTGAGTCAAGTTGAGTAAAAAAAATTTGAGTTATTCGAGTTGATGAGTCCTATTTTATAACTCGGAGTTGACTTGAATTTTTTTCTAGTCAAGTCAAGTTTATAAAATTTGAGTCGAGTCAAATTTCCGAGTTTCTATTTAAATTTTTAAATTTAATTGTAAATATTTTCAATATTATGACATTATTTGATTCCAATTTAAATGGTATTTTATAATCATATACAATACATATATATTTTTCGTATTTTTTTCATATGTAATTTACATATACCATACAAAGTTGAGGGGCTCGAATCAAACTTTGACTCAAACTTAAAAATCAATCTATTAATTACTAAAAATTTTGATTTATTAAAGTTGTATTGTACAACTCGATTTGAACTTGAAATTTTTTTCAAATAGAGTTTATGAAATTACAACTCAAAGTCAATTCGGGTCATGTTTTTTCAAGTCGACTCGAGTCGAGAAAATTGAATTTTCAAGTCGTGTCAAGTTTTTCTCACCCCTAGAAGTAGTCGATGGACTTAAGGTGAACATCTTCTGGGATGGTTAAGAGAGTTTGGGAGGATAGGGAGTGTTTTTTAGATATAATGGGAGAAATGAAATAAAAAAATGAAATATTGGGCTTTATATAGGAGGATCACATGTGTAATTAGGTGATTGTCTAATTATTTCCGACGTCCCTATAGCTTTGATGTATAATTTATTTTGTCACTAATTTTATAATTTTGCACTGAAAATTTAATTTTGATGCAATTTAATCCTTTTTTTTATCTATCATGTTTAATTTCTTTAAATTGATACATTGATTTTTTTTGTTTTGTTGTAACGCCCCGAATTCCTGGTTAAAAGTTTTGGGTTTATTCGAATAGACCTTACAATAAGTTTCCCTTGGATTTTGTAAAGTTGGACCTAAAGTATTTGAATTGGGCTTGATATGAACCCAACAAGCTTTAAAAAAATGTGTTTTTAATATTAACCCAAATATGGAGGGACTTAGGGGGAGTAATTATCCCATTTTTCAAAAGAAAGGTCGATAACTCTTAATTGTTGGTGATATCACGTCTGAAACTCCCATCTTTTTTTCACCCCAACTTTGTCTCTTCTTCCACTATTCTTTCTCATCACCTTCCTCTCCAAAGCAAGATAAAGGTTCAAGATTTTTAGTTTTGCAAGCTTGAATCAAAATTCTAAGGTAAGATTCATAAACTACACTTCCTAAGCTTCAAATTAAGCCCTCATTTGTAAGCTTTGGTTTTTTATGCAAAAATAAGTTTTACTGGGGTTTATGGAATTCTTAGGATTTAATCCATTTTTTTAGGGTTTTAAGTTAAAGAAACATTTCTAACCTCATCCCAAGTATTTTCATGAGTTAATAACTCATTTACTTTGTCTTAATTAGTACAAGAGAATGGAGAGTGTTCTAAAGCAAGGGGCAAGGAGAAGTTAACCCTTGGGTGATTCAAGAACGTTTTTCAGCCACCTAACATCAAGGTAACACGATTCTACTTGACCAGACCACATGTAGGTCATTGTATGTGCATATATGGTTTGTTTAGTTCATGAAGCATGCTAGAGTAGATTTCATGGCAAAATCCGTATTTGTTGTTTGTAAGTATGAAAGATGATACCTTTTGACCTCTAAGACCTCAAATGGGTGAGATTTAGATGCATTTTCGTGCCCAAAACAGGGCACTCTAGGCCATTAGTATCGATACTGGAAGAACAATATCAATATTGTTCTTCGTATGGGACAAAAATAAGGCAAACTTTAAGGTGAAGTATCGATACTTCCTCAAGGAGTATCTATACTCAGGGCCCGGTTTCGATACTCATGGAGTGGTATTGATATCGGTGGTAAGTTTCATATTACAATAACCATTTTTGGTATTGGTACTCATGTGAGTATCGATACCAAGGGTAAAGTATCGATAATCCCCTTAGGAGTATCGATACCAAGGTATTTTTTCAAAACATCGAAGTTATTTTTGGTATCGATACTCAGGATGAGTATCGATATCCAAGGGCAAATATCGATATTGTTGACATAGTATCGATACCATCATTCATTTTTGGATAATTTGATTTGTTTGGTTTGGGGGTTCGGGCTTGGGTGTTTTGAGTTCATTTAAGCTTCAAGTATGCGATACAAGTGAAAATAATCAAGATAACTAAATTCTCACCTAGAAATCAAGCAAGTTAGGATGATGTAAGATTGACCTTTGTGTGATGCTCGGGAAATGATTAGGACACCAGAGTTACTCTAACATTATGACGATCGTCTTCTGTTTGTGGAATATTTGGATATTTTCTGACTTGGTACGCATCTGATGCACGTAAAATTACAGATCGTACCGGTGTGCATCCATTACACTAAAATTTCAGACCGTACCTTATGCTCGAATAGGTTTGGAATGTGAGCTTTCGATGCATGTAAAATTTTGGTTCTCACGTCGACCTCTCGAGTATCCGAGATAGACTAAGGGCTCTAAGTTTCGATGCACGTAAAATTTTGATTTTTACCCCGAAGTTATCATGTTCCAGGTAGGCTTGTACGTTGTCAGAGATGCACGTAAAATTCCTCTGACCACATCACTAGGCCTATCTCATGTTTGTCTATTTACTTTGCATGTTTATGACTTTACGCACCTGCATGTTCTTGTAATGAATGTATGTAGTATTGCATAGCTATTTTCGTGGCACTGAGCTTGTGAGCTCAACATATGGAATGTAATTACGTGCACAAGTCAGTAGATAATCGTTGAGTAGCCTATCGCGCAAATACATTCCAGACCAAACATTTGCAGAGTATGTCTTGGATATATTTTAGAGGGCATGTATTTTACATGGACCTTGTATTATTCGAGTCATAACTCTATTTTGTTTTAAACTCATTGGTTGTATTTGTACGTATTTGGGAGACTCTCATATTTTGTAAACTTTGATTTCGATCCCGCCTATATTACGATGAATGATTTTGATTCTATTAAATGTTTTAAAAAGAAAATTTTCGAGTTGACTATTTCGATAGTTTCATGGTATCATAATCCATAGATCTTCGAGTCAGAATGAGAAGATCCATGGATTAGTGTGTTACATTTGCAATATTTAATCACCTATTATCTTTCTTTTTAACATTAGTTTTAGTTTTTAAGAACCCCGTTTAAATCTCAAAATTTTGTCAAGGATAAGTAATTCTAGATTGAACTTTTAAAATTTTATCTAAATTTTAATTTTCACGATTAAGACGATCAGATAATAGGATTAGCACCGAAAGGATAATTAAATTGTGCTCATTCTTTGTCGTTTGTAAACGTCTTTTAAATCTGATAAATTTTTAGTAAGATGCAAATTTGATAAAAAAATTTAAGATATCCAATCCACCTGATTTGAAGACGATCTGTGATAACTTTCTCACACGATCCAAGTTAAGACGTGAAACAGTAACTACCCGAAAGCCCGTTACAACAGGTTACAAATACCATTTCATAGAATTAGCTTTGAATTGCTAAATGCAAATGATTTACTCCTTGTTTAGGCTTTGGCTGAATCGCGTCCGTCAAGAAAGCAACCAAACATGGTGTTGCATGCTGCTATCACACCTTTAGATAACGTGACTTCATTTTTTTATATTTTAATACATAAATTGATTTTGGGTTGAAAAATGGAAAATTGCTGATTTTTCAATTCAAACAGAAAACCAGTAATGCAAAAGAAAACAACTCCGCATATAACTGTTAAAAGAGAAATTTGAACAAATAATGCCACTATGAACATGGAATAGAGAAACAAAACGCACGTATCAGACATAGCAGAATGTGCAATTCCATCTTCTCTGAAATCTACATGTATTATATACTATTATTTATCTACTTATTTTTACCATGAGCAAAAACGAACTGTGTTAATGCTGTGGCCTCGAGATTTTCATGCTGCAAGGAGTTTCTGGATGTCCTTCTACAGAAACATATCAGAAAAAAGAATTAGTTCATTGGATTCAATTCGAGATGAAGAAGTTTCTGAAAGTCCAGAACAAGTTCATACCAATCACCTAACATACAGCTATTTTTAAACAGTAACTAATTCAGAAAATTTGAAGGAATTGCATTCGATTCCTTTATAGCAGCTTTTGAGTTCGATTAAAACATTGATTCTGTTATCAGACAAAGTTGGCAAGATATAATCGGTCTGGACGTTCTAACAGACGAGAATTGAATATAGAATCGGCATTTCAATGCTCCGAAAAGAGAAGCATCGAATATATATGCAGTTTCTCAAGACATATACCATTCAAACTGCAAACGAACGATGAGCTCTGTTAAAGATTCTCGAACATTGATCTTCCATTACAAGCCTTAAGACAACCATCTTAAATCATACTCAATACTATTTCATCGAGAATAATAGTAACAAATACATACCTCGATTTGGAAAGGTGATGTCGTTGGTGGATACCTCTCGACAACTTTGCCATTTTTGTCCACCAAGAACTTTTCAAAGTTCCACTTGATCAAGTCACCGAAAAATCCACCAGCACTCGACTTCAGAAACTGGTAAACGGGAGCAGTATTTGGTCCATTCACATCAACCTGTTTCATCAAACTTTCCTTTAGTCCTTAAAAAGGGTTTATGTCTATCATATATGCTATAATCAAATAGCAAAGCAACTCGATTCACCTTATCGAATATCGGGAATTCAGCTTTAAACTTAGTACATGCAAATTTTTTAATCTGATCATTAGGTCCAGGCTCTTGTCCCCCGAATTGATTGCAAGGGAAAGCTAGAATCTCAAATCCTGTATAGTAGAGTTGCATGAACAAATATCACATTACAAGAACATGATAGCATTGCTAAGGAACAAACAACTATTATACAAAAGCTGACCTTGATTCTTGTATTTTTCATATACGTGAGAGAGCTCAGAGTAATTTGATGTCGTTAAACCACTACGAATCAAAATGAAAATGAAAATTCTTCAATCAGATCAAGTAAAGGACATAAGTTGTTGACGGGAACAAATGAGTTATCAAATTGACAGTTCACTCATTTTGATTGGTCGAAGAGCCGCAGCTATTGCAAGGTCGACTTTAGCCACTTCACTCTTTTTTGTTTGGACGGAGAGTAGCAGCCATTGCAAGGTCGACCTTAGCCACTTCTCTCCTCTAAGCTCTCGCAAAAACCCACCAGTTATCGGCCGACCTTACATTGGTTTGGGCGGAAAGCCGCAACCGGTGCAAGGTCAACCGTTAGCCACTGCTCTCTAAACTCTTACTGAAATTTATCAGTTAACCGCCGACCATGAACCGGCTGCGACTCTCTATCCAAACTAAAAAGGGTAAACCGCCAACAGCAGCTCAACCCATTTGTTCTCGTCAACAAATGGATAAAACCTGAAAACAAATAATGTAATTCATCTTGAAAAAGGAGGGTTACCATCTTGAAGCAACATTAACAATCAAAAGAACCTTTCCCTTGAATTTGCTAAGAGGAGTATCATTCCCATCAATATCCTGTTCAAAAAGACAGAAAAAAGCGATTCATTCTGCAAATTTCATCAGCAAAATTTTAACCTTTATTTTTCAAATGAAAACTAATTTTGTTCCCCTAAGATCGTACCTTTACGGTATAGTCGTATAGGGTCTTATCCGTAGCAGCTCTTGCAAAAATCCCAGAAGATCTAGAATTAAAGACAAATCCAGGAAGAGTACGCGGCTGTAATGAAAACCCATGTTGGAAAAAGGCTGATTTTGAAGACCCAAACGATGATTTGATGGGAGGCCATGGTGAAGACAAAACTGGGTTCTTTTTTGCTTGAGAAAATTCGAGAAGAGAAGGAATAGTTGCAGAGAAAGTCATGGAAGCCATAGTGTCTCTCTTTCTTCAACCTTTGTATTTGTTTAATTGTCTAAAAAGGCTGAAACTTGAAAGATGAAAAATACGTATAGGTTTCGGAAGACGAGAGAAAGAGCTGTGGACTGTGTCAATCCTAAACTGTGAAGCTGAAGAGGGGCTTGTTTTATAAACAAATTTGTAGCGGAAGGGAATGTTCCACGTCCAAGTTTGTACTTTTATTTTGCTTGTAAGCTGTATCCTTCCCTCTAAAGTGCTACACAAAAATTAGTCAATGTACACTCTTTCCCATCGATTTAAGTAAAAAAATTAAATTAATTAAGTTAATGAGTTTTATTTTGTGTTTTAAATTTTATTTTATATTTTTAAAATTAACTTTTGGTTTATAAAATTGAGTTAAATTATTTAAGTTTTTATTTAAATTTAATCATAAATATCTATAGTGTCGCGATATTAATTGATTTAATTTAAACTTCTTTTTATAATTACACGAAGTTATCTCAATTTAAAGAGATTGTCGTTATTCTTAGAGGTTTCAATTTCGAGCACCAAAATTTGCAATGTATTTTAGTATTTATTGTCTAACAATTATTTATAATTTCTAAAACATATATTATCACTTGTAATCATCCTCGGTTGATTTAAAATAAATTATTTCTATGATTATATATATGATATATATATACATATTTATTTATATTATTTTATATATAATATACATATATTATGTAAAATTAATAGACATAATTTATACTTAAAATTTAATTTATTACTTGTTAAAGAATCAAATTATTTAAATATTATTTTAAATTTTAAATTTTAGAATAAAATTATAAATTAAAACTTTTTAACCTTAAACAAAATCAAAGAAAAAAATATTTTGTTTTTCATTCATTCTATTTTATCGAATCTTGAGAAGCTTCATGATTGATTGGCGTGGTTCCTGAAGTTTCTTTGATGGCCGGCTGGCTGGCTGGTAAATGAGTAGCGTGCCTTCTGATGAGTCAATCGATTTCTACGATTTAATTTCAATTCAAAAAGTGATTGTTTTCGTTTTATTTTGATTTAGCTTGAAATTTTTGTATGTTTTATTTGTCTGATATTTGAGTTATTAGGATTTCTATTAATCACTTTTCGATTTGATTCATGGAAAAGAATATCTGATAAGAAAATAAAATACACTTTAAAAGGGGTTTGATCTAATAACAAAAAAATATCAGAAAATAAAAAAGTAAAAAATTTGAGGTGAAATTAAAAGAAAGTGAAGAATTCTTTTAAAAAGTAGTTTGATAGATCAAAAGAAGAAGAAAAATTATTGATTATTTTTAAATTAATTTAAAGTAATCACAAAAGACAGTAGGAGATTACAGGGAAATTGCATGAATATTGTAGTGTACTTTTTTTAATTTTTAATATATAACATTCATATTTTTACACAAATCAATTTAATTAAGTGATTAAAGAAATCTTATTTTGAGGTCACGGATTCGAGCACCAACGATTGCAATAGGGTGATTGAACATTTAATATTAAATGATTAAGAGTATTTAGAACAAATAATATTTTGTAATCACCTTAGCTTAATAAAAAATTAATATTCATACTTTTATTTTGAATTTATGACATTTTGAATAGTAAATTAAAATATGATTCAAGTAATTCGTCTTTACTGTTCATTTTATTTTTTTAATAAAAAATTATAGACGGATGTTTACAACCTGTCTTCAATGTGCGAATAACAAAATTTTATTGCCACAGTGAAGGTGGATGGTTTACAAGCGGCCTTAACTGTTCATATTTATTTTATTTATTTTTTTAAACTATAGCGAAGAAGATTGATTTACAACTCACCTTTATTATTCATCAAAAAAATTGTTTCATTCAAAACTTGTGCAGTAGCGTGCAGGCTGGGAGGTAGTATAGAAGGCAAGATGCATGAGATTTGGGAATAAAGTGTGATAGAGTGATATTGATATATATGATACGAGTATTAATTATTTATTAAAAATTAAATTATATTTTGTATGGTAGATGAGATGGGTAAGTAACGAAAAAATAAATTGTTTTATTGAGAGATTTTTTTTAGTAGGTGAGGTTGAAGATAAAATGTGAAAAAAATTGAGTCGAGAAGAAGAAGAAAGAGGAAGAGTAAAAGAAGATTTGGAATTTAGGTAGAATATTTTGGAGTAAACAAGTAAGTTGAATTTGATAATTTACTTTTTATTGAAGCAATATTATATTTTTAATTTTGTTTAAAAATTTTAAATTGTATATTATTGATATAATTTAAATTTTGCCCATATAATTTCGATAGATTTTGAGCAAAAATGAAGAAAATAAAATTTGGAACTTTGGGAAAATATTTTGAAGCAAACAAGTAAGTTGATTTAGTTTTTTTAATTAAAATACTTTTATTATATGTATCCATTCTTCCATTATTGTTTTAAGTTCTTTAGTATCTCGAATTTAAATTTTATGTATTATTTTTATTTAGAATTTTAGTGGTTTTCAAGTAGTATGTTTTTTAATAAATTATTATTTATTAGTTGAAATTAAGGTTAAGTATGTTAGTAGCATATTTATATTGTTTAAAATATATATATATGTTTTTAACATGCAGAGAAAATGAGCAACAAGTTTCTCACGATTGTCCATTACAATGCAAAAATTGTCAATTGATGTCGGGGTTGTAGTTAAATCTGAAAGCCCTATGAACATGATATTTAAAAGGGACATCAAGCTTCAAGAAATAAAGGAAATGATAAAAATGAAAATTGGAGCTTAGATTGATGATTTGCGGTACAGGTGGAAGACATGTCACAATCCAGTTGGATATTCTGCAATATTTCTTCGAGATGATATTGATGTTGGAAGCATGATTGTAGTACATGAATCAACAAATGCTCGAATTATTGAGTTATATGTTGAGGTACGTGGGATATATATTGTTCCCTGCTCATCCAAAAATGTATTTGGAAATTCATCTGAAATGGGTTTCGGTAGTGGGATTGAGGACCATACATATCAGTCTAGAAACAGTTTTGTCGCGATATTGGAAATTGGGACATCGAGTGCATTTCATTTATATGGTTGGACTTCGACATAAGCATCCGTTGATCCAAATGTTGATGTTGACGTTGAAAATATTTGAGGTCGATGGGGAAAGCACTTGTTGAATCTAGTGATGATGAAGAAGAGGATCCCAATTTTATTGGTGGTGATCCTATTTTTTGTGACGGTGAATTTATTTCAATAAGTGACACTATTACATTTTATCAACCTCCTGCTCACACGAACTTAATAGATTATGATGCGATGAAGGCGCGTGAATTTTTAGACATATTGTAACACCCTAAACTCGATTGGGGCTAAAAGTATCGCATTGGGTTACCGAGGCAACCCCTGATTTTCAAACCTATACATTTTCTTTTTAAACATGTTGAATGGCATCATAAATATTGTTATAAAAACCATCTTACAAAACCGAAGCTCCGTGATACATAATTTAAAATCAAAATAATACAAACTTTGAGTTTAGTAAACTGAATACATATGTAAGGTTCTATGATTACATATACTCACTAAGCTACAGTACAGTACTCTGAAGGAAATACTGGAAATCTTGTTGCGATGGTGCTCCACGACCTGCTCATACTACAATCCTGCTAACGGAAAACATCTGAAGGCTGAGCTTACAAAGCCCAACAGTATAACCGCTAATCTAAAGCAGCATAAGAATTCATAAACACAAGCATGCTGAAAACATGGTACTAAGCAATAGGTACATGCATGATCTATATCAAGTGCTACCTACTTAAAGCTTAGTTGTTCTATCTCTAAAGTATGGGTCTCCAACCCTAATGTCTGAATTTGCTACACATAATTTAAATGCATTATTGGCTTTATTGTGCATTATATGAATGTCATACTAACTCTGTTGTACATTATCTAAATGCAATATTAACTTTGTTGTGACTCATAAACTAGATAAGGTAGGCATCATGGTGCGACTGAGGAGATACATCTCTAAGCTCACTCTCCCCTCTATCCTACCAGCTGTTAATATATGATACACAACAACAAACATAAAACTGTGGTAGGTATAATAGTTTAGTTGAGGGATCTACATCTCGGAGCTCACACACCCCTCTAGTCTACCATTATACCCTTATGTACATAAGGGTGAGATCTAAAACCTGTATAGGAAACGTAAACCCGTCAACTTACTCTGTCGAGTCTTGACGCATTTGCGTCTAGCTGGCAAAAGAAGTGCTTTGGCACTGACTGGTATATACCTGGACTTACTGACAAACAAGAAAATCACCCTACTGTTAAAGTAACTCGGGTGTCCTGGCTGTTTCTCGAGTGTCATACAAAGGCTAATTTTATAATATCCTAGCTATTACATTTTCTAGTTGTTATTATTATTGTTTGGTTTGTTACTATTACTATTTCTATTTCTAGCTGTTCTGAGTTATTACTGATCTCGTTTACTATTCACCCTAGCTAGTAACTCGATCGTTCTCTAATCTAGAATGTTATGTGATAAGTGTAATACCCACAAATTGATACGGGTGACCCGATCCGATCTGAGGTGTCACATTAGGGCCACCAAAGCGACCCACCGTAAAAATCCTGAAAAAATTAAAATTTATTGTTAAAGCATTTAAAATCATAAAACAATTTATATTTTAAAAGTAGAATTTAACAATATCCAGAAATAAAATAGGTTTTAGACTCGGATATAAAAAATACAATCTATATGCCCCATAATCACATGCATCGTACTTCGCAAGTAACGCCGGTGGAACTCCTATATTGATATATTTAGTTGCACTGATTCAATTCTTTTAAACTGAAATGGAGAGTAAAAGAGTGAGATTTAGGAATCTCAGTAATACAGAACTACCAAGTGATGCTGAAGGATATACAGATAAATGGAAAATAATAAAATTTCCTTATTGATTCAAACTTCTATAGGTTTTCGGAATGAGTCGAGGTTCTATTGATATTTCTTTGAGTAAAAGACATGAAGATTTCAGTTCAGAGAATACATAGCATGTAGCTATGGTTCATAAGCCAATAAATCAGTAAATCATAAATTTCGATGAAAGGTATTTCAACATAGATAAAATAGTCATGTA